CACAGAGTCGGACAGACTGAATCGACGCCGCAGCAGCAGCAGCAGCAGGTCTGAGACATGCCGGCTGCAGGAGTTGCGGTGCTTGTGCTCTGGGCTCAGGCTCAGTAGTCGTGACACATAGGCTTAATTGCTTCATGGCATGTNGTGGGTTGTCATGCCCTCCTCCAGAGGATCTTCCCAACCCAAGGATCAAACCCGCATCTCCTACGTTGGCAGGCAGATTCTTTACCACTGAGCCACCAGGAAAGCCCTATTTACTATTATGTGAACATCATAGAGTCATTATAATTATAATACGGTTATTAGAATCTAGAAGGTTGAAGGAATACTCCTTAGAGCCGGAACCCCGGCCTCTGACGAGGGGACAGCTGGTTTCAGTGTTTCAGAGAGAGAGAAATGAGACTGAGAATGTGGAAAAGACAGGAGTCAGCTGCTGCCATCAGGGAGAAGAACTACTGCTGGAGTAATGCTGACAGGAACAGCAAGCGAAACAGGAAGAAACATGTACTTTCTCCTTCCAGCCTTTTGTCTTTCTTGTGCTCCCTCCCAGCAGAATCAAATAGAGAGCTGGCAACCTCAGAGCCAGAAAGTGAAGTGTGAAAGGGTGGGTTTGGGCTAAGAAACAGTTAGTCATGAAGGCAGTTAACCCACCCTTTTGACTACTCAGCATCCATACATATCTTTTTTTTTGGCCATGCCACGCAGCAAATGGATCTTAGTTCCCTGACCAGGGATCAAACCCACGCCCCCCACTTTGGAAGCATGGGGTCTTAGCCACTGGACTACCAGGGAAGTCCCATATGTATCTTTCTACACACATTCAGATTTCCATTTAACAACTATAAGCATCATGTTTCATCTGATCTTGCACAAAGATGCTCTCATCTATCCTCCAAACAGGGGAGATACAGAATTCCTCCTGTCATATTATCCATTTCTGTTTTGCCTTTCTTATTATTCTCCTTCCAGCATTCATTTGGATTGAGTCTGCTCCCAACATTTCCGTTTTCCCCTCTATGCTATATTGAACGTTTTACACTTACTGTCTGTTCTTTTAGTGCTTACTCTAAAAATATCATCATGTGCATTCTACAAAATCTTCTCCATTTATAAGTTCTTCAAGATTTTAGTTCTTTTTTAAACATTAAAATTTGACATTGTTACTGTATTTTTGGTAGAGTTTTGATATTTTTGGTATGCTTACCTCATGCTTTTGTTTAGTTTTTCTTATCATTCTTTCTTGTGTTTCAGGATTAGTTTCCTTCCTCCCAAAGTATCTCTTAGAAATTCTTTTGAAAAGGGTATCTTGGGAATTAATTCCTACTTTTTGGTTTGTCTAAACAATCATTTTCTTTTTGTTCTTGAACTATATTTTGCTGGGCATACAGTTCTAGTGTAACAAGTTATTTTATTTTAGCCCTTCGAGGATCTCATTCCACTATCTTCTGGATTATTGCTATTGAAAAATAAAAAGTAATGCTTGGGCTATTCAAATGACATTCCCTTTAGTGGGCTAAAGTTTACTAATTACCTAGTGTGATATTTTTTTTTTTTTAATATTCTGCTTGGGATTCATTGGGTTTCCTGAGTTTGAGGAAGAATCTTTCTTATCAATTCTGAAAAATTTCCAGACATTATCAAATGTGCTTCCCTCCGTTCTATTATCTTTTTATTTATTTTGGCTCTGCTGGGTCTTCACTGCTGCCTGGGCTTTTCTCTAGTTGCAGCAGGCAGGGGCTACCCTCTTGTGATGCACAGGATTCTCACTGCACTGGCTTATCTTGTTGAGAGGCACAGGCTCTAGGCTGTCTTCAGTAGCTGTGGCTCCCAGGTTCTAGAGGACAGGCTCAGTGGTTGTGGCACAGCACGTGGGATCTTCCCCTACCAGGGATCGAACCCATGTCTCCCACATTGGCAGGCAGACTGTTTACTACCAGGGAACCACCAGGGAAGCCCCTATCTTTTTTAAAAAAAACCACAAATTAGATGTATGTTGGACCTTCCCACTCTGTTCCATATTTCTCAACCCACTGTTCATAATTTCCATCATTTTTTTCTCCCTGTGCTGCGCCCGGTGTAATTTCTTCAAATATATGTGTGTTCTAGTTTCTTCTCCTTTCAATGGTGATACAATCTATTTCATTTGTCCACTGGGTTTTTAAATTTTCACATATGTAATTTCTAGTTTTCCTTGTTCAAATCTTCCTTGCCAGTCTTGAAAGTCTGTTTTATCCTTCAGTATTTTCAAAATATCATCTTTGATTTCTTAAAACATTTATTTTGTATTCAGTACCTTATAATTTAATATTCATACCAGCTCTGAGTCTGATTCTGAGGTTTGTCACTTCTGCTTGTTAGGTTTGTGGAACTCATGTTCCTTGGGATTTTATCTGTGGAAATTCTTTAAAGCCTGGGTTTAAAATGCATTTCCCTGGGTAGAATTACTGTTTACTTCTGCCATGTACCTGTGGGAATAGCTAGCTTGGGTTGTTATTCAACTCCTAAGTCATGTCGACTCTTTGAGACCGCGTGGACTGCAGCACGCCAGGCTTCCCTATCTGTCACCATCTCCCAGAGTTTGCTCAAACCCATGTCCATCGAGTCGGTGATGCCATCCAACTATCTCATCCTCTATCATCCCCTTCTCCTCCCACCTTCAGTCTTTCCCAGCATCAGGGCCTTTTCCAGTGAACCGGCTCTTCCCATCAGGTGGCTAAAGTACTGGAGCTTCAGCTTCAGCATCAGTTCTTCCAATGAATATTCGGGGTTCATGTAGCCAGCTTAGGACCACTCTAAAATTTTGTCTGGAGGTCTTTCAGGTTACATAGATAGTACAAATTTAGACTTCAAACACACAGGAATATGGACTTACTGTTACAAGTTCTCAGGGGAAATTTTTCTCTTGCTTTACTCATCATAAAGGCAGAGACAAACATATATTCCCATCATGTTTTTCAGAGGGAGGGCTTTTAAAAAAGTACCAACCAAGGGTTTGCTCTCAGGTTCTAGAATTTTATATCTAGAACTGTGATCTTTCCTCTCACTCTGATTAAGTCCCAGGATTTTTCTTCTCTGAAAATGGCCCTTTAACATCCTGGCTTTATGCTGTTAACCCCAGAAAAAGCACCGAGTCTAGAGCTATCTTTACGTCTCTGGATTCACGCTTTCTTGTTTCTGGGACTGTAAGGATATACTTAAGGCACACGCTCTCCTTCAAGACTGGCCCAACCAAGAGGAAATGTCTGGGGCCCCAGGCCTCCCCCCGCTCTCATTGAATTAGGGTGCTAGTTTACATACAATTAATTGTACCTATTCATTTTTAAATTAATTATACCCTGTCCCTAGCATTCACTGACAGCAAATTCAATTACTCATTAATCTAATCGTTACTGCTTTTATTCAGAGAACACTGAAGGTCTGTTTTTTTAAATCAGTTTATTTTTGGTTGCACTGGGTCTTCCTTGCCGCGTGTGGGCTTTCTCTAATTGTGGCAAGAGGGGGCTGCTCTTCGTCGTGGTGAGGGGGCTGCTCATTGTGGTGGCTTCTCTTGCACTTGGGCTTCAGCAGTTGCAGCCTGTGGGCTCAGTAGCTGTGGCTCTCAGGCTCTAGAACTTGAACTCAACAGTTGTGGTGCACATGCTCCATGGGTGCCTTGTGGCTTGTGGAATCTTCCTGGACCAGGTATGGAACCCATATTCCCTGCATCGGGAGGTGATTCTTTTTTTTTTTTTTAATGTTAGCTCATATCTTTATTAACCAATATACAACTACTTGTCTTTTGGTTTGTTGAAACAATAGGTCAGACAACATTTGCCACAGTAATGTCTGTCGAAGTGACTGGCCATAAAAACTCCAGCACCACATTCATCTGAGGGACACTCCCGGCGAAGGCGACTGATTTTGCCATTCTCATCCATCTTACAGTATTTCAGAACAGCCAATTTAACCTTCTTTCTCTTATGCTTGTTCTTCTTGGGAGTGGTGTAAGACTTCTTCTTCCTTTTCTTAGCACCTCCATGAAGTCTCAACACTAGATGAAGAGTGAACTCCTTTTGAATGTTGTAGTCAGACAAAGTATGTCCATCTTCCAGTTGCTTGCCAGCAAAGATCTGTCTTTGCTGCTCAGGAGGAATTCCTTCCTTATCCTGGATCTTGGCCTTTACATTTTCTATTGTATCCGAGGGTTCAACCTTGAGAGTGATGGTCTTCCCCATCAGGGTCTTCACGAAAATCTGCATCTTGGCAGAGGTTCCACTTGAGGGTGAGGAAAAGGAGGAGACAGTGAGACCTGAAATACAGGAGGGGCGATGGCCGGTTACGGGACAGAGCTCCCGGGAGGTGATTCTTAACCACTGGGCCAGCTGGGAAATCCTGAAGGACTGTTAATATCCTAAAACCAAGGAATGTCTCTTATGGGCTGAACTGTCTCCCTCCCATCCCCACCCCCAAATTCATGGGTTGAAGCCCTAATCTGCAATACCTTGAAATGACTTTATTTGGAGACAGGACCTTTAAAGAGGTGATTAGGTGAAAATGAGGCCATTAGATGGGTCCTAATTCAATCATGATTGGTGTCCTTACAGGAAGAGGAAATTTGAACACACAAAGAAAATCAGGGATGTATGCCCACAGAGGAAAGAAGGCAGTCATCTACAAGCCAAGGAGAGGCTCAGAAGAAGCCCTCCTGCCCTCACCCTGATCTTGGGCATTTGTCTCTGGAACTATAAGAAATGAATTTCTGTTGTTTAAGCTACCCAGCCTGTGGTTACTTTGTTATGACTGCCCCAGAAGGCTAGTCCTAGCATCTCTGACGCTATGATTTCAGGCACTATCTTGGTCTTGAGGGAAGAAACCATGATTTGACACAGGAGCCTTGTCAAGGCTATTCCAAAAAAACAAACAGCAACAAACAAAAAAAAAAAAAGAAAGAAAAAGCAAAAGCTAACCAAATAAATAAACAAAAACCCAAAACGCCGAGCTGTTTCCATCACACCCATTGCGCGGCCTGGTTTGGCAGACAGACTTCTGCCCAGGCCTGGGATGTGTCTCACTCATACATCATGTTTCTTTTTCCAGGGCCCTTCTGCTCAGGAATGAAGCCGAGGATGGGCAGCATCTCGGGGCTGCCTCAGACTCTGCAGATGACTTGGCTTAGAGGACCTGTGGGACGTGCAGAGAAAGAGAACCGGGGGAGAGGTGAGAACAGCAGGAGCTAGGGAGGGGGACGAGGGACAGGAACACTCTCTCAGGCTTGAAACCAGATTCTCTGAATAAGTGTGGGTGAGGAAGGCATTTTCTGAGGTCTGGAAACACAGGGGGAAATGCAGGAAGGGAGTGATGTCCGATGAGTTCACGACTAAGTGAATCAGAGGTGGCGCAAGCGTCCCAGCCCTCCTCTGCCTCTCTTGATTACCTTGGGAAGCTGATTCAGTCATATATATTCTATTGTATTCATATTCATATCACAATATGATATGCATATGCAATATTCATATTGCATCTATTCACCTTTACTATTTCCCTTCCCCTGGCTTCATGTATGACAAATTCATTCCCTCATTGGAAAAGTATTTTCTGAGCATGGTCGATGTGTTGCGCACGTGGCAGTCTCTGCCTTTATCCAGCTCCAGATCTGGGAGAGCAAGCGCTCAGAGTGAGGGTTTCACCAAATGGCTTAAAAACTTAAACCTAAGATGTGACACCATAGAACTCCTAGAAGAAAGTATGTGCAAAATATTCTCTGATAAGTTGTTGCTGTTCAGTTGCTCAGTCCTGTCTGACTCTGCAACCCCATGGATTCCAGCATGCCAGGCTTCCCTGTCCTTCACCATCTCCCAGAGCTTGCTCAAACTCATGTCCGTTGAGTCAGTGATGCCATCCAACCATCTCATCCTCTGTCATCCCCTTCTCATCTTGCCTTCAATCTTTACCAGCATCAGGGTCTTTTCTAATGAGTTGGCTCTTCACATCAAGTCACCAAAGTATTTGCTTTCCAATGAATATTCAGGATCAATTTCCTTTAGGGTTGACTGGTTTGATCTCCTTGCAGTCCAAGGGACTCTCAAGAGTCTTCTCTAACATCATAGTTTGAAAGCATCAATTCTTCATCACTTAGCCTTCTTTATGGTCCAAATAAAAACAAACAAATGAGACCTAATCAAACTTACAAGCTTTTGCACAGCAAAGGAAATTGTAAACAAACAAGCAAGCAAAACCCCGAAAAGACAACCTATGGAATGGGAGAAAATAGGGCTTGCAGTAATATGGGGTTTACATGGGGTTGCAAAGAGTCAGACATGACTTAGGGACTGAACAAAACAAAAAACAAGGATTTTAGACTCTCCCTGAAGGACATGGGAATCTACAGAAAGATTAGGCTGGGGAGCAACAACTAGATCATGAATGAACTGTACAGCAAGATTTGAAATGTTGCTGTTGTATTCAGCAACATCTTATGGAAAACCTTGAACGAACTTTTTGGGCAACTCAGTAGTACAGGTGAGAGATGATGGTGATTTGGAAGAGGGTAGCTTCGTGGGGAATGAAAAAAGTGACAGATTTTTGAACCTCTGGAACATTCTAAAGGGTCTGATATGGAGTGAGGAAGTGGGAGGAGCTAAGTGTGACTCTCAGATTTCTAGGGAGACTAAAGAGTCAGAAGAGAAGAGAGAAGAGGATCTAACTGTTACTCCAGGAGGTCTGTCAAGGGGAAGAAGGAACTTTTTCTAAAAGCCTGGAGAAGGAGGGGCTTCCCTGGTGTCCAGTGGTTAAGAATCCATCTGGCAATGCAGGGGACCTGGGGCTGATCCCTGGTCTGGGAATCTCCCACATGCCACAGGGCGACTAAACCTGTGCTCCATAACTACTGAGCCTGCACACTCTAGAGCCCATGTACTGCAGCAAGAGAAACCACTGCAATGAGAAGCCTGCCTACCTCAACTAAAGAGTAGCCTCCGTTCACCACAGCTCGAGAAAGTTTGAGGAGCAACAAATACCCAGCATAGCCAAAAACAAATAAATAAATAAAATTATTAAAAAAAGAGTAGCCCCTGCTTGCCGCAACTAGAGAAAGCCCATGCACAATGACAAAGACCCAGCACAGCCAAAAAATAAAATAAGTAGATTTAAAAAAACCTGGGAGAACCTAGACAGCATATTAAAAAGCAGAGACATTACTTTGCCAACAAAGGTCCATACAGTCAAAGCTATGGTTTTTCTAGTAGTCACGTATGGATGTGAGAGTTGGAAAGACTGATGCTGAAGCTGAAGCTTCAATACTTTGGGTACCTGATGCAAAGAGCTGACTCATTGAAAAAGACCCTGATGTTGGGAAAGACTGAAGGCAGGAGGAGAAGGGGATGACAGAGGACAAGATGGTTGGATGGTATCACTGACTCAGTGGACATGAATTTGAGCAAGCTCCAGGAGATGGTAAGGGACAGGGAAGCCTGGTGAGCTACAGTCCATGGGGTCACAAAGAGTCAGACATAACTTAGCGACTGAACAACAAGAAGATTTAAAAAAAAGAGCATGGGGAAAGAATAACAATATCTGGAAACAGCACTGAGTTGCTAAGGGATAGCAGAGTCTAAAGATACTAGATTATCAAGCTTGGCCACATGACCTGCTTTAGCCAATGAAATATGGACACATCAATGTATATCTCTTTTGAGCTGAAACTCCAGGAGCCAGCTCACGGCTGTTCACATCTCTTTTCCCTCTGCCAGGAGACTGCTCCATCAGTCTGGGTGAAGAAAGGAGCACGTGGAGAAGAACTTGAGCCACCCAGGTTGGACATGGAGCATGAGGGAGTCTCTACCTTTATGTGAGTCACTGGGATTTTGGTTTGTTTCCGTGGCATATCCTGGTTACTTCCCTCTCCACCTCCAGACCTTGAGGTGTTTGGCGAGTGGGCGGATGAAGTGCCTTCAGCTAAGATTGTGGGGATTATCTCTGGAGAAGGATCTGATGTTAGTTAAGGTAAGAGTCGGAGGGAACATCGAGCGAAAGGCTTACAGGGGTTGCAGTGACAGAATTTGGGAAGGATGGAGGGAGGCAGGAGCGGGTAGAGCAGAGAACACAGAGATTGATGGAGATGAGAGAACCTGAGAGGATGAGAGGAGCTTGTGTTGGGGGAGTTATAGAGGGAAACAAAAGATAGGGAACATGATGAATTTGGTTACGACATTCCTCAGAGGACAATGGGCTCTCAAGCTCAGAACCACATATTGCTTCAAAAAGTCTCCTCCCCATCCCATCCACTCCCTCTCACCTCTCTCTCTTAATGTTCATCATCACTTTCATCATAGTGGGCTGACTTCTCAGTTGCTGGTGTCATTCTGATACAATGTGACTTCCATACTGCAAGAGCCTGGCCTGAGTTGTTCATTACTCTACCCTGAATGCTGAACACAGGGACCCAGCTACCTGTGAGATGAATGAAGGAAATTTACGGATCCATCCTATTCATCATAGTCTCTCCCATCAGTAAAGGGTGGTTCTTAGCAATCTGTAAGCCTAAGTTTAGCTCTTGGCTTATGTTTTTCTGTCTTAGTCATTGTGGGCAAATTACCCAACCTCTCAGACTTTGTTTTCTTAGGTTTAGCATGGGATGCTAGGGACTTTCTTGGTGGTCCAGTGACTGAGACTCCACCATCCCAGTGCAGGGGGTCCAGGTTAGATCCCACGTGCTGCAACTAAAAAAGATCCCACATATTGCAATGAAAACTGGAGATCCCAAATGCCACAACTAAGACCCAGCCCAGCAAAACAAATAAATATAAACATTTTGTAAAAATGTTTTATTTAAAAATGAGATACTGATAGTTATCTAAGTCACAGGGTTGTTCTCAGAATTAAATGACATGATTTATCTCATTTAAAGGACTCAGCATGTTGAACAACTATCCAATTTTTGGGTACGTGTTATAGAAAGATATAGAAAGATATCTATGCTCATGGCCACTGCAGACAAATATGCCAGTCCCTGGGCTGCCCAGGTGGCTCAGCGGTAAAGAATCCTCCTGCAGTGTAGGAAATGCAGGAAACTTGGGTTTGATTCCTGGGTTGAGAAGTTTCTCCTGGAGAAGGAAATGGCAACCCACTCCAGTATTCCTGCCTGGAAAATTCCATGGACAGAGGAGCCTGGTGGGCTACAGTCCATGGAATCGCAGAGTCAGACATGACTGAGCGACTGAGTGCACACACACACACACACACACACACACACACACACATGCCCGTCCTCTTTAGAACTCCATGTAGTTTCCCCAATCTCCTTGCTTATCAACTTTAGTACAGAGGAAAAAGGGCTTGTTTGAATAGACCCTCTGGGTCTACTGAAGACCCAACCAGAACGTGCCCTACTACACCTTAGAAGGAAGTGGCTCTCTCAGCTAGAGAGGAATGTGACTCAACGAAATACCCAGAAAAAAAGAAAGAAGGAAGAAGGAAAGAAATAACGAGCAGGCATGGGAGTTTTCTACAGCTCCTATAACAAATTATCACTGTCACTGCTCACACGGTTTGCTGAACCCAGGGTAGGCCAGGCATGAGCGAGGAAGCTGGAAGAAAACTCGAGGAGCGTAGAAACCGCAGACATGTTACAGCCATGACGTAACCTTCTCTCCTAGCTGACGCAGCAGCCGAAACAGCAGCCATGACGTAACCTTCTCTCCTAGCTGACGCAGCAGCCGTAACAGCAGCCATGACGTAACCTTCTCTCCTAGCTGATGCAGCAGCCGTAACAGCAGCCATGACGTAAAGGCTCATACCTGCAAGGGTCTTCCAGGTGGAGCTTATATAGCCCCACAGACCAAAAGTAGCCCTTGGTCAAGTGAGTACCTCGTGATGCACATGTGCAGTGCTTTAAGTAATCTCAGCTGTTACACGAGCAGTATTTACAAAATGTGGGGCAAGAGCGAGAGGCCTCGGGGCGAGAGAGCCTGACCACGCCATCTTGGCTAATTTGCTCTTTCCCTGAAACCACAAACTTAGTGGCCTCTAACAACACAAATTTACTGTTTTGCAGTTCTGGAGGTTGGAAGCCTAAGATCACTCTCATTGGGATAAAATCAAGTGTCACAGGGCTGCATTCCTTTTGTGTGTGTGTGTGTGTAATTCTTTTATTTATTTATTTATTTATTTATTTATTTTGGAGTATAGTTTCTTTATAATGTGGTAGTTTCTACTCTCCAGCAAACCCATGTCTCTTGCATCTCCTGCATTGGCAGGTGGATTCTGTAGTACTAAGCCCCCTGGAAAGCCCCATTTTATTCTTTAGCACATCTCAATTCAGACTAGACATGTTTTAAGTGCTTCATATTGAGAATATTTTGTTGGACAGTTCAGGTCTAGATCCTAAACTCTGCAACGGCCCCAGGGCCTAGTACAATCCCTGGTCAATGGGCATTCAGATTTGGTGGACGTAGAAATTTATGGACTGCTCTGTTCAGGTTTAGACTCTTTTTCAAAAGCCTTGGACCACTGACCCAAAGAAGGAAGCCTAACTGGGGTATGTGTGTCTGCGCGCTGTCATTTGCATCTAATTTGCATACTCCCTCCCAGGTGTGCTTGCTCTCCAGTCAGCTTCTCTTTAGTGATTCCCACTGGGTCTGCTCTTACCAGGGCAACTTTTTTTCTTTAGGCCAAGCTGTGCTATGCAGCTTTCGGGATCTCTGTTTCCCCAACCAGGGAAATTGAACCTGGACCACGGCACTGAAAGCCCGGGATCCTAACCACTATGCCACCAAGGATTAGGATTCCAGGCAACTTTGAAAAATGCACCGTTGAGCTGTGCTTAGTCCGGCCTGGAAGGAAAAGGACAGAAAGGGGATGCTGCATGGAGCCAGTTCCCTGGGGACCTTCAGAGGTGGGTGGGTCAAGAAGAAACTCCCAAACAGGCCTTCCAAGGCCCTTTGTGATCTGGCTCTGCTCCCTGCTCACCTCCAGCCTTAGCACATTGTTCTGGATTGAAACATGCCCTCCCCCCTTTAAAGCCGTACACTGAAGCCCTGATGCCCAAGTGTGACTGAGTTTGGAGATAATTGAGGTTAAGTGAAGTTAAAGGGCTAGAGCCCTAACCCCATAGGACTGGTGTGCTTATTAGAAAAGGAAATGACACCAAGGGCCTGTATACCCAGAGAAAAGGTCTCGTGAGAACACAGGGAGAAGGCGGCCGTCTGCACGCCAAGGAGAGAGGCCTCGAGAGAAACCAACCCTTCTGGCACCTTCATGCTGGACTTACAGAACTGTGAGAAAGTCAATTTCAGTTGTTTAAGCCATCTGGTCTGTTGTACTCTGTTATGGTAGCCCTAGCAAGCTAGCACCTACCCTGGCTCTCACCAGTCCTCAATCTTGCCCTTGAACTCCTCTCTGTTAGCTTTCCTGGCATAATCCAGCAGTCCTTCTTTTGGAGAAGAACTTTTTTTTTTCCTCTGGGTGATAAACAAGAAGTAGCAGAGCTAGCTGCTCGTCTGGGTGCATTGAAAGGAGACAAAACTGCCTCTTAACAAGTAAGAGACAAGCGGGAGTGCTCCCTCTATGCAGATTACTGTCAATCACTGAACACATCACTCCTTTTAGTTCTTAAAACAAAACACTATGGGGCTTCCCTGAAGGCTCAGTGGTAAAGAATCTGCCTGCCAGTGCAGGGGACACAGATTTGATCCCTCATCCAGGAAGATCCCACATGTCTCGGAGCAACTATTGAGCCTGTGCTCTAGAGCCCGGAGCTACAGCTACTGAAGCCCGGGTGCCCTGGAGCGTGCTAAGTTGCTTCAGTTGTGTCCAATTCTTTGCGACCCTATGGCCTGTAGCCCACCAGGCTCCTCTGTCCATAGGATTCTCCAGGCAAGAATGCTGGAGTGGGTTATGCCCTCCTCCAGGGGATCTTCCTGACCCAGGAATTGAACCCATGTCTCTTTTGTCTCCTGCATTGGCAGGTGGCTTCTTTACCACTAGCATGCCTGAAAAGCCCCCTGGAGCCCATGCCCCACAACAATAGTGTAGCTCCTATTCTCTGAAACTAGAGAAAAGCCTGAGCAGCAACGAAGACCCAGCACAGCCAATAAATAAATAAATAAAAATTATTAAAGAAAACACTATGAAGTGAGTACCATAGACCATATTCCCATAACTCTAACAGCAAACATTTACACTCTGTCTAAAGTCTCAAGCACTGTGCTCTGAAGCAAACACGCATCACCTCATTTAATCCTCACTGGGACAGAGAAGGTAGGAACCATCATCACCATTCATATTCTGTACATAAGGCAGGCAGGCCCTGGGCAGTTCAATCATTTGCCCAAGTCTGCAGAACTGGGCAACTGCCAAACAGAGCAATCTGACCCCAGGGCGCTCACCCCTGCCCACTGAACTCTGTGAGTCAGTGGAGAGTTAGGCAACCATAAACTTGCCCAAGGTTACAGACTTCCCTGGTGGTCCAGTGGTTGAGGCTTCTCCCTTCCACTGCAGGAGGCACAGGTTCGATCCCTGGTTAGGGAGCGAAGATCCTGCATCCAGGGAAATGGTGTGGCCTAAAATTAAAAAAAAGAAAAAATCTTGCCCAAGGTTAAATAATAATCATTGGGGCTGTACTGGAATTTGACTTTTGATCAAAAGTGCTGTCACATTCACTCAGCGGTCGTCTGATGGTTGTCCATACTAGGAAAGATACTGTGCCCAAAATGTGGAGTCTGAAAACCAACACCCACAGTTGCTGCCTAAAAGGAGGATCTGAATAGTGGAAAGATGGTCATGCAAATAGCTATAATCCAACTACCTCATTGTTGTTGTTCAGTCGCTAGGTTGTGTCCGACTCTGCGACCCCATGGACTGCAGCACTCTAGGCTCCACTCTCCCCCACTATCTCCTAGAGTTTGCTCAAACTCATGTCCATTGAATCAGTGATACCATACAACCATCCCATCCTCTGCCATCCCCTTGTCCTGCCTTCAAACTTTCCTAGCATCTGGATCTTTTCCAGTGAGTCGGCTCTTCCCATCAGGTGGCCAAAATATTGGATCTGCATCTTCAGCATCAGCCCTTCCAATGAATATTCAGGGTTGATTTCCTTTAGGATTGACTGGTTTGATCTCCTTGCTCCCCAAGGGACTCTCTAGAGTCTTCTCCAGCACCACAATTTGAAAACATCTGTTCTCCGGTGTTCAGCCTTCTTTATGGTCCAGTTCTCACATCCGTACATGACTACTGGAAAAATCATAGCTTTGACTATATGGACTTTTGTTGACAAAGTAGTGTCTCTGCTTTTTAATATGCTGTCTAGGTTTGTTATAGCTTTCCTTCCAAGGAGCAAACATCTTTTAATTTCATGGCTGCAGTCACCATCTGCAGTGCCTGGAGAATTCCATGGACAGAGGAGCCTGGCAGGCTACAGTCCATGAGGTCACAGAATCAGACACGACTTAGTGATTAACTTCCTGGAGGAAGGTATTGAATCCAGCGGGATCCTATAAACAGCCCAGAGTTTGCCTTGGAAATCTTTCTTCACAAGGGAATTTATGCTGGAGAAAAACCAAATAAGACTGGTCATAAATCAATTGATTTAAAAAAAAAATTGCAGTAGAAAGAGAGAATGGGAAAAAACAAACTCACTCTCTTAACCACATAACCACATAAAGGATCTTAATAACCTTCACATTTAAGAACAGCCTAAGTAAATTATTACTGATTTTTTTATCATCTGATATGACTGTATAAACCATCTCTAACTTTTAAACCAACCATTGCTTTTCATTTATGGATTTCATCTAAAAATATGCCAAACCTTAAGAAGAATTCAAGTATAAATATCTTTAACAGGAAAGAAAAACTAACAAGTTTCATTAGCACTGGGAGTGTTCTTATCTTTTTTCTCCTTGGGTGTTAAAAGCTGGAGAACAGTAAATACTGTGGAATTCAAGAACACATTTGCCTCAACATTGTTTTTGGCCTTCAAATCCAGGAGGAATTGGCCTTCAAATTAACACATTATTGATAAAAACTAACTTCCATTCTTAAAGGGGAGGCACATATTCTGATCTTCTGTTTTTCTCTAAAAAAGAGATTTATGTGCTTTTCAACAGATGAAAGTGTTAGTCACTCAGTCATATCTGACTCTTTGTGACCCCTTGGATTATAGCCCACCAGTCTCCTCTGTCCATGGAATTCTCTAGGCAAGAATACTGGAGTAGGAAGCTATTCCCTTCTCCAGGCAATCGAACCCGGGTTGCCTGCCTTGTAGGTAGATTCTTTACCATCTGAGCCACAGAGCTTTTCAACGGAAAAGGCAATAGTATGTTCAAAGCATAGCAACTTGAGAACATGATCTGCTTTAGGAAACGCAAAGATTTCTGTATTTCTGGAACATAAAGTTCAGGAAAGGAGATGAGACTTAGGCTGTAACTGAGGTTAATTTTGAAGAGCCCCTTCAGTTTAGATCAGTTCAGTCGCTCATTCATGTCCGACTCTTTGCGACCCCATGAACCACAATACACCAGGCCTCCCTGTCCATCACCAACTCCCGGAGTCCACCCAAACCCATGTCCATTGAGTCGGTGATGCCATCCAACTATCTCATCCTCTGTTGTCCCCTTCTCCTCCCACCTTCAATCTTGCCCAGCATCAGAGTCTTTTCCAGTGAGTCAGCTCTTCGCATCAGCTGGCCAAAGTTTTGGAGTTTCGGCTTCAACATCAGCCCTTCCAATGAACACCCAGGAGTGAGCTCCTTGAGGATGGACTGGTTGGATCTCCTTGCATTCCAAGGGACTCTTAAGAGTCTTCTCCAACACCACAGTTCTAAAGCATCAATTCTTCGGCGCTCAGCTTTCTTTATAG